CAGTGTGTGCCTACGTATCCGCCACAAGGTCCGTCCCCTCGCCGATCACATACTGAGGCAGACAGCACATGCATTTGACCCGCACATCAGTCAGGGGAACACGGGACTCTCACTCAGAGCGGACGGCACGAAAGCATGTGTGTGGCTGGCTACCTCTCTCTCTCTCTCTCGGTTGGCTGAGATCAGTTGGTTGTCTGGTGTGTTTGGCTGCGCGTATGGATGGCTGGTATGCTTCGCGTGTGGGTTTGACCGTTACCAGAGAGAGGACATCCGCACCATGACACTTTCGTAACACGCCACGCAGTCAGCTCCGGTGCAACTTGCAGCCTGTGCCACCCAGCCACTCTACGGCACCACCATTGAAAGGGCCTCGACAGGGCGGCCGACCGACGATGAGCGCCTTCAGCAGTGCGGTGAAGAGGGTGGTCGTCAAGGCCATGCGGATGGTGTTTGTCATCGTGTTGCCCGTGTCGACTATCGCGGGCTTTATCTTTGTGACCGAGGTGCTGACAGCCAGAAGCACACGAGTGCCGTGAATCAGGTGCGGGAGGACACAAGGACGGAGTGGGTGTGGGCTGCAGACATCGACATGTGTGCGTGTGCGGTCTGTGTGTGTGTGTGTTGTGTGTGCAGGGCATTGCGCGTCTGTCGTCGGTCATCGCATAAAAGGGCTTTTTCTGTGTCTGTGTGTACGTGCAATTGCGTACATACGCCTTGTATACTACTGACTGTAATTGATGCTCTCTGTGCGTGTCTTGCGTGTGCGGTGGCTATGCGTTCTTTCGACAGTGAGTGTGTGTTCTGGCTGGATGTCAGCCATGTACACCGGTAATTGAGAAATGCCATGAGGTGAGAGATGAAACGAAATCCAAGGCGAGAATGGGGGTTTTGTACGTATGTACGTGGCGTCTGTACGGGAATGCTTTGCGAGTCCGTGTCTTCAGCGTCACCCGAGTGCATGCACGCGCGCCATATTGACTTCGATCAGTCAATCTGGCGCATTGCATGTGGTTAGGTGATGCGAAGACACGGACTTGCCATGCCAGACCAGACACAGACAGACGGGGAGGGTGACATTGGACGGATGGCCTTGGTGGCTGAGTGTGGAGACGATGCCACAGGGATAGATTTCCAACACCATCTGGTGCGACATGAGGCTGTGTTTTGCTTCATGTTGCGACAGATGGTGCTGGTGGCTCATCACTGTGTGTGTTGCCCTGCTCGGAGCTAGACACACGCGAGCGACCTGCATGTGATGGAAGTTGGCTGATGCAGTGCTGCAACGATGGACGGCATCCCATCTTACTCTTCCCAGTGATTACATAAGATCTGGCCGGATTCGTTGCCCCATTTAGGCATTCAGTTGGTCATCCATCCATCCATCCATCCGTTTCACATCCATCCATTCACTCTTTCGCGCTGCACGCGACCATGCTATCCACACCCACATGCCCCCGTCTGCCTGCCTGCCTGCCTGTTCGTGAGGGCATGAATCCACCCTGCATTACCTCACGAGGTGGTGCCGCTTCGTGCTGCCAGCTCGGCGTCGGTCCTAACGCCACGCAACAAGTCGCCCCACAACTGCAACACACACACACACACACACACAGAGAGAGAGAGGGGGGGATGGGGGGGATTAGTTCCTGTCTCTGTGAGTGTGAGTGTGTCACCTCGTCCGCTTCTCTCTCGAAAGCCGAGAGGCCTGACGCACTGATGGACTCATCAAAAGTCCTGTGGGAACACGACACACAGGTAGCATTCACACACGCCATGACAGTATGTCCTTCCCTTCTGTGTGTTCCTTGTCCGTACTTTGGCATTCTGATGTTTGGGCCGTTTGTGAATGAGAAGGTGACACCTGCGAGGGGCCGCATGAGAGTCTGCACCACCGCCTCAGCCACATCAATCCTGACACATGTCATGACCCACACATTGGCAGACGTGCACACGTGTGTGCAAACAAAGGAGTGGTCAGTCAGGGGTGTGAGTGGTTCTTGCCTGGAGACGCCCGGCAGCCCGCCCAGTGGTCCCTCCTGCGCAACCAAGATATCACGAGTCAGCCATGCCACTGCACAATAGACAGCCAAGAGGTGGCAGACAGACGCGTTGTATCTCGTTTGTTCTCTGTGTTGGTTCGGTTGCCTACTGTTGGCCCTTGCGTATGCGTTGGTTTGCTCGTCCTGGAATGAGGTGGGCCTCAGGATGACGTAAGGCAGCGCACTCCCACTGCCACGCAGCTCGTTTTCGGCCTTCAACTGACGGACGATACGAAGTGGACCACATGTGTGTGAGTGCGTGTGAGTGTGTGCCTGTGCGGCTGACCTTCCATCCAGTGGGGTTTCCCAGCAGCGCATTGAAGGCGGCACCCACACTAAAAGACACGCAGCACACGCAGACAGACAGAGAGTATGTGTGTTGGTGGCTGGACGCTGTGTGTATCAGCCGCTCTCTACGTCGTGTCTTTTGCGTCTCCGCCCACTCAACTCACCCCTGGTTGCCGGAAGCGACGGATGCAGAGGAGATGAGCACAAACTTCTTGACAGTGGCCGGGCCTGACGGACCCCCAGAAGCCTCGGCTGCAACACACGCGCAAACCCAGAATAGACAACCGCGTACGCGTGTGCTTGCTTGTCTTCCCCGCACCCCAGTCTCACACACCAGCTTGTCTGAGCGCCGCCACGGCGGCGTACTCTCTGTTGGCCTGGCCGGGCTGGTTCTCAGACAGATACACGAGAGCCTGCGACCCCATTGCGGCCTCTATGGCATCCTCCACATCCACGGCGTCACCCTCCATCACGTCGATATAGTCGCCATCGCCGCCATACCGCTTTTCTATCCGCTGCATGTCGCTGGTGGGCACGAGTAGCCGCACGTTGAAGCCACGGTTGCGCAGGAGACTCACTGTGGCCGTACACAGCTCACCTGCACCCACACACAGCACAGATGACATTTACATGCCTTGTGTGTGTCTGTGTGTGTGTGTGTGTCTGACCGTCGGGCTCTGATGCGACGAGCAGCACAGCGTCGGGCAGCAGCGGCTTCTCTTCCTCAAGTGCAAGCTCAGTCTGGCTCTTGGTCCACTGTGTCTGAAACATCCATCCATCGGTCAACAAGGGGAAGCAGACACACCCATCCCAGGTGCGTGCGCACACTGCCTGTCGGCCAGTCAGGTCAGGCGTCACCTCACCGACAGGAATTCTTCCTGTGACATGTCGGAGGTCCTCTGCAATCAAGACATATACACAGGACGCACACTGAGGCGTCAGAGACATGTGTGTGCTCTGTTACCTTGCCGTAGTACTGCTCGCCCTGCCCCAGCCTGAAGACAACAGACAGGAAAAGCTTAATGAATGGTGACCCTCGCCACCCGACCTGCCGAACCGTTTATTGAGAAAATCGTCCCAGAGCCGGCTCGCGTAGGTCGAGGCGGCTCGCTTGTTGGACTGAATGCGGTCCAGCCGCTCCCGCCGGCGCTGACGCCACCGAGTACCCCTGATTGTGTGCATGTGTGAAAAGGATCAAAGGCGCATGTGTTGTGTTGTGCCGTGACTGGCGGACCTTCTGACATTCTTCGTCCTCGGCGATTCGTCCTTGGGCACCACCATCAGCCGTTGCCGCCTGAGCTCATCCTCAAGCCCACTAAATGCATCATTCTCACTCGCTGCAACCAGCATTGGCTTCCATCGGTGCCGTGACTGGCGAGAGGCCGGGGGATGGGACAAAGGGCCGGCAGGCGCACCGAGCAAAGAGAATGCGGCGGCATGCGTCCAGCAGAAAATCGATGTCAGAAGCGCAGCCATGCCTGCCAATCCACTGCCATGTGACGCACATTGAGCTCGTCTGGTAGATCTGCATCGGGACCTGCCAAGTGCTGTTGGCTGACACGCGGCTTCACTGTCAGTCACTCGAGAAGCCTTCATCTCGCCGTTCTGCATCTGTTTCATGATGAGCATCCTGTCTGAGACCTGAAACTGGGGGAAAGGTCGTCAGATCCACACTGCAAGCAAAGCAAGCTCGCAAAAAGACGGCCTTTGAGCTCGCAAAAGTGAAAAGGGGAAGAAAGCGTCAAGAATGAACCGGCTCTCAACCATCGCTGGCCATGTGGCGCCTCCCGCAGCTGCCGTGTCGGCTGCCGGGAGCAGCTACGGCTTCGCATCTGGGCGGGGGAAGAATCCCGACGACGTGGTCATCTGCAGCTCCCTCCGGACGGCCGTGACGAAGGCCAACAAGGGCGGCTTCAAGGACATGATGCCCGAGGATCTTCTGAAGCCGCTGTTCGAGGAAATCGTCCAGAGGACCGGTAGGCTCAAACAAGGAAGAGGAGCACACGACAGTGGAGCGTGTGACATGTGGATGTGTTGGTGTACAGGCGTTGATCCTCGCCTGATAGGTGACATCAGCATCGGCAACGTGCTGCAGCCTGGAGGTGGTGCGCTGTCCAGCCGGATAGCCCAGCTGCTTGCCGAGCTCCCCGACACCACGCCCATCGCCACCGTCAATCGGCAGTGCTCGTCCGGTCTGCAGGCCATCGCAAACATCGCGGGCGCCATCAAGGCGGGCTACATCGACATCGGTCTGGCGGGCGGGGTGGAGACCATGACGCAGCACTCGATGCAGGATTCGCTCAACCCCGAGAAGCTCAGCCCCTCTGTGTTCGAGCACGAGGCCGCCCGCAACTGCCTCCTGCCCATGGGCATCACCAGCGAAAACGTCGTCACCAAGTACGGCATCACGCGACAGCAGCAGGACCAGCTCGCCGTCGCTTCCCACGCGAAGGCGGCCACGGCGCAGAAGACCGGCCTCTTCAATGACGAGATCGTGCCCGTCATGGCGCGTGTCAAGGACAGGAGCGGCGAGGAGAAGCACGTGGTCATCGACAAGGACGACGGCATCCGTGCGGGCACCTCGATTGAGACGCTGTCCAAGCTCAAGCCAGCCTTCCAGAAGGGCGGGTCGACGACGGCCGGCAACTCGAGCCAGGTGTCGGACGGCGCGGCCCTCTGCCTGCTGGCCCGCCGCAGCGCCGCCGAGCGACTGCACCTGCCCATCATCGGCAAGTTCGTGTCGTTTGCCGTGGTGGGCGTGCCGCCCGAGATCATGGGCATCGGGCCGGCGGTGGCCATCCCGGCCGCCCTCGAGCAGGCCAACCTGGGCATGGACGACATATCCGTGTTTGAGATCAACGAGGCCTTCGCCTCACAGGCCACCTACTGCGTGGACAAGCTCCGGGTGCCCCTGCACAAGCTCAACCCCAAGGGCGGGGCCATAGCCCTCGGCCACCCCCTGGGCTGCACGGGGGCGCGGCAGCTGGCCACACTCATGCCCGAGCTCAAGCGGGGCGGGGGGCGGTACGGCGTGGTGTCTATGTGCATCGGCACCGGCATGGGCGCGGCGGCCGTCATCGAGAACGAACAATGAGATGATGCGGATCGATCCACAGCAGGTAGTGAGTGAGGGCACAGAGAGGTGGGAGCTTGATGTGCTCAGTGAAGCATCATGCCCCGTTGTGTGTGCGCGTGCGCATGTGGGTTGGTGTGTTAGCAGCGAATTTGTCGCTCTGCCGACACTTGGCGGCGGTTGGTGCCGACGGCAAACGCCGTGTTGCCTCTCCTCGTCGATGCCAGTGGATCGGTCGGTGTCTTAGTCGCGCGTGAATCGACGAGTGAACGAACGGGCCTTTTCTTGAAGCCTGTCGAAGTTTTCGAACGGTTGTGTCGCATGTCTGATGGTCTGTGATGCTTGTGGTGACACTTCTTACGAGCTGACGTCTGTGTCTGAAAGAGAGAAGGGGTGTGTGGGGTGTACTATTGTACACGTGTGCGCGTGAATCACCTACCGAGAAAGTGCCGTCATCTGCTGCTCTCCCTCTGTGCTTTCCTTTGAGTTGCTCGGCGGGGTCGTCCTTCCTCTGTGGCTGTTGGCTGACAGCCTCGTGAATGTACGACTCGAGTGGCAACTGGAAGGAAAGGGCATGGGAGCAGGCAGCGATTCAGGGGGATGGACTGGTCGCAATGCGTATTGTGTGGACTTTATGCATTTGCTTGTGCGTGTGTTGGCTAATGCCTCTGCCTCTGCTTCTTTTGAGTCATCCAAAGCCGCTTTGGAAGGTCACGAAAACCTTGCCATGTACCGACTGATCGACTGATGTCGTCAAGACACAAACATACGTACGACGCCCCAACCGACAGTCACAGATATTACTGATAAACACTGATAAATACACTCGGCCCTCACTCACGAAACACACCCACACACACGGATTCACACGACAGCACCATCGTCGATCACGCCATCGCCCGGTATGCGAAGTCCTTGGCCACCCGGCCTCCCCCAGGCACCTCCAGCCTGGCCTGGAATGAAGGGGCAGAATGTGTGGCCGGCTGCCTCTCGGGCATAGTCGGCCGCGCGTGTGGCACCGGCCCTGACTGAGAGCCGCCCACTGTCAGCTGGACGCCGGCCGTATCGCCTGTGGGTGGATGCCGCCCCTGAGCCTCAGGAACGCCCCAGCCGACACTGTGGATCGCATCGAAGTGGCCCTTGTTGTACCTGGGAGAATGTAGACATGTCTGTGCACAAGTGTTCTTCTCTCTGTCTTCTCTCTTACCCCGCCAGATATCCGCCCACCAGACTGGTCACGACGGCCAGGCTGCTCAACGCCAGCCACCATATATGCTGACGCACTCGCGCGTGCCGATCTGCCGTCTGGTACCACCCCTGACCCTCACCGCCCTGCCCCTCTCCTTGTTCTTCTGGTTGTGGCTGCTGCTGGGGGGAAGGAGCAGCTGGTGGCTTCTCTGCTGGCTCGTGTCCAGTCGTTGTCTCAGGGGCGGGGAAGGTCAGATGAGCGGTGCTGACGGAGCCCACTTGTGTGGGCGACGTGAGGAAGGGGAGGTCGTGTTGGAGGGACACCGGCACGCCGCTCCACGGCTGCACGAAATGCGGCTTTGGATCGAGATTGACGCCGACCATTTCCAGCCACCAAGGGGGCGGGTCTAGTGCATCGTCGAAAGCAGTGTCAGGTGGCGACGCCATGTTGCGATAATCGAAGCTGACGGCGGGGAGAACAGAACGGACACAACAGCACAGCAGTGATGGTTTGCGTGTCTCTCTGTCTCTGCGTGTCTCTGTGCGAGTCCTCACCCGTCGAAGAACCTTGTGGTTATCAGGTCAGCCAAGTTCCACCACTGGTGTGTGACGCCCTCCTGCATGCCCCTCTGCCAGCCCTCCAGCCGCTCAGCAACCCCACCCACGTCACGTGGACAGCCAGCCACCAGTGGCCCCTTCACCCCCACCTCATAGCCGCCCTTGTCCATGCTCACCAGCACCGACTCACCGTCCTCACCCTTGCCCCCTGCAGGTGTGTGTCGCAATGCCTTGTCAATGGCAGCCGCCTCATCGATGGCATGGATGTCCCCATTGTCAGCAGCGGCGTCAGACGGGGGCGGGGTGGTTGGGTCAAGGTGGTCGTCTTGGCCTTTTGTGGTGCTGCTGCCGTTGCCGCTGGTGGTGCGGCAGTAGTCGCCTATGGCCTTCTCGAACCGGTCGATGCTTTCATCGAGCTGAGACTGGAGAGTGCGGACGGCCGAGTAGACGAGCGGCGACATGGCCGCAAAGTTGAGACCCATGTAGTTGGACACGAAGTTGAACGCATGCCAGGCAGACGGCCTGTAACCATCACACACCACAACATGCCTCTCTCCCTCCCTCCCACCCTCTATCCCTTTGCTGACCTGCTCATGACGCCCATCTCTCCCGCAGTCAGTGCTTTGCTAAGGTTGCTGGACGTCGCATACACCGGCATGAAGACGCTGGTCGCAGGCGCATCAGGGGCGAACCACAGCCGCGATGCTCCGTCCTCACTGTAGGCTGCGAGCAGGCGCTCAGACGACCGGCCGCGCGGCTCTAACAGCACTGAATACGACGTCCTCTGCAGCGATATGGCCGCCGGGAAAATGCCCGGGACGGCAAGGAGGCCTTTTCCCAGCGGAGGGCGGAATGGGCTGCCGAAAGGTCCCGCGAGAATGCCTTGAGTGAGATCGTATCGGGTGCCCTCATAGTGGTCTCTCAGCAGCGCCATTGCCTCTGTGCGGTTGAAGAATCGATGATCAGGTCTGACGCTGAAGGGGAAAGTGTGTGGGCTGCTCTCGGGGTCGACATTGAGTGGCGAATGAAGGCGGGAGTAGACACGCCACAGACGGAGAGAGCTCTTCCTGTGAGCAGATACACATAGAGAGAGGTGTCTGCACGTGGCTCGGTGTGGAGCGTGTTTCGTGTTGTCTGTGAGTCGGACGTACATTGGCAGATACTGGTCCCCTGCTGAAGGGGGCATCGTCTCTGGCTCGCCGTATTCGGTCAGCCGAGGGCTGAACGTCACGGCAAAGTCCAGGGCCTTGCTGCTGTCCCACAGCCCAGATGTGTCGGCCACAATAAAGAGGTTGGGGCTGAAGAGGAACTCGCCTTTAATCGTCGGGTCGATCTCCCTGATTGTGAACCAGTTCGCCACCACGGCGACTTGGTCATCAGGCACCCGTTTTGCCACCCACACAGCGCCCCCATTCGCCAGACCTGAGGACAGCACATCATCACGCGCATGCATGCATGTGGCCGGCCTCCTGTGCGCATGAATGGACACCTGCGGTGATGTGCATGATCCAAGCCTCTTGAGTGTCGATGACGCCCAGCACTCCGCCGCCATTCGCCGTGCTGCCGCTGCCGTCGTCCCCATAGAAGCCAAAGATCTCCGCTATGCCGCCCATCGTCTGCACCGCACACCTGGCCGTCACACAGCGCTCCAGGGCGATGTGGGTCAGCTCCGCCAAGTCGAACAATGACGTGCTCTTGGCAGCATCTGCCGACTTGGCAGTGAGGATGGCCGCTGCCGGCGACTGACCGATGGCCAGACCATATTCGTTCATGAGGCCGTATCGAGCGTCCAAGTAGCCGTGGGTGGCCTGTGTCTGCGGGATGGTGCCCAGCACCTTCGACTTGCCGTCGCCGTTTGCCGGTCTGTAGGCGTCGCCCCTGTCCTCGCAGCTGTATCGCGGGAACATGCCTCGCCTCGCCATCTTGAGCACCGACCGGTCCTTCCCCCTCTCATGGTGCTGACCATACACACAGAAAGAAAGAGATGGACCATGGCCTGGCACGCAATGTACTCCCTCCGCTGTCTGTTGTTACCCACCATCGGAGGCACTTTGACGAGACGAAAGTCGCATGCCGCACAGTCGATGGCGTTTGCAATCATGGGATGGCCGTTTGCTGTAGTGTTGCTGCCGAATACGATAAGCGTACCGCTGTCCATGACCCCGACCGGTGCGTCCGCCAATGGCACCGTCGCATTTGCCGACGGCTGGGCATACAAAGCAAACTCGGCCAGCACATCCAGATCAAGATACACATCGGCGTGGCTGGCGCCAGCAGCAACAAGAGCAGCAGCAGCAGCAGCAGCAAGTGAAACAATGAATGAAGCGATCACAGAAACTCCCATCTCCCGCTGATGACTCGGAGGGCGGGGTCACAGGACCCGTAACTACCCACTTGGTTGGTTGGTTATTGTGTTTAACGAGACTCTGCCGGCCGTGATCAGCAGCAGCGGTTTCGAGGAGCACGATCACACTTGCAAGCCTTGCGAAGGGAAGAGGAGGGGCGGTTTGAAGTGTTTGCCTGGCCTCCCTCGCTTTGCGGGAGGGGTATTTTCGCCAGGATCTCATGATGCTGCGTCCGCGCACGACGCTGGCCCTGCGCCAGCCGAGCGCCCTGCAGCGGATCATCGGCCAGCCCACCAGCGGCCTCACCCACGTCCACAACCAGAGCCGCGCCATCAGTGGTTTCCCCAGCTACTCGATAGCGATGCCTGCGCCGCCGCCCCGCGAGTACAACCCAGATGGCACGCCGTAAGAGGACCCACGCAGAAGCCGCACACGCGTGGCCACCAAAGAGAAGAGAAGGGGGCAGTCTCATCAATCGTTTGTTTGTTTGTTTGTTTGTTTGTCTTGGTGTCTGTCTGTCTGTCGACGCATCTCTCACTGTGATATATTCTCAGCCGCAAGTATCGGCTGATGATGTGGACGTACGACCACCCGTACGACTGGGAGCGGTGGGTGATCTTCCCGGAGGGCTGCTTCCACACCTACTACTATGGCACCTTCGCCAGAGACCTCCCCTGGTAGGGCGTGCGCGCGCACACACACAGGGAGAGCTGGAGAGATGAAGATCTGCATCTGGCTGATGAATGGATGGCACGTGTGGTGTGTGCACCACACTTGATGTGGATGTGTGTGTACTGCAGGTACACCGCGTGGTGGGCGTCCTTCCCTCTCTATGCCACGCTACTGCCGACGATCGTGTTCTTCTATCTCCTCGCCAGTTTCGGTGTGCAGGGAGGAGCCATCGGTGAGTGAGCTCAGCTGAGCAGACCATCCACATTACAGGGGAGGGGAGGGCGACAAAGGGGTGGGTGTCGTTATCGACTGTGTGCCTGTCTGTCTGTCTGTCTGTCTGGGTGTGGTGTAGGTGTCAAGCCGAAGCGTTACACGGTTGAGTGGCAGGAGGCCGAAAAGGAGCGCGACAGAGCCGAGAACGCCAACCCATGCACCAGATACCTCGAGAGACGCCGGAAGGTACACACACACAGGCGGATACACATGTACGACACCTTGCACGTGTGTGTGTCTGCGTGTTGCTGCTCGCCTCTGTCGTGCTGTCTGTAACAGGAGCGTGGGTCGAATTGGCTGCTGGCCGACTTCATGCCCAAGCACCCCTACTGGCCATACATGCGCAACCACCACGACACCGAACTCCTACGCGAAATGGGTACCTACACACACCACCCACACCCTCATGTGTGTGGTGATGTGATGTGTAATGTTTGTGTGCTGCCTTGGCCCACCCATCCCTTTGTCCGTCGATCAGAGCGCAAGAAGGCCCGTGCGTTGCGCAAGGCAGAGCGGGAGGCTGCTGCGGCTGCTGCAGAGGAGGGCGGGGAGGACGAGGAGGGCGGTGACGACGAGGGCGAGGAGTGAGCGAACGAGGAATGCAGTGGAACGCGACAACATGGGAGCGGGGTGTGTGGGCGGACACATGTAGCTAGCTCTTCGAAGTGAAGTGTCGAGAGGGGATGTGGTGTGGTCTGCGGGTCAGTCAGTGTGGTTTGTTTCGTTCGTTGTGGTGAATGCGTGGATGGACGGATGGGTCTTCTGCGTGCGAGGCGTCGGACTCACGAGGCACGGTGGCTGTGTTGTACTTGCACCCGTACAAACACTGCCGTCGGTTTTGTGGGCCAGACGTCTCAATTGCAGGGGCCCGACTGAGTCCACCTTGCTGCATAGGTGCATGGCGTGTCCATCCATCCATCCATGTGTGTGTGTGTGTGTGTATGTTTCAAGTGTCTCACGCATCTCC